TTCTGGCAGACTTTGTTGCAGAATTCACCCCGGGATCGGCTGTCCCCTCCGAAGGGAGCTCTGCTTTGGTCACTATGACTGCCCAACATAAAGGGCAATCCCCAGCCGAAGCATGGAAGCTTTTTGTTGGAGACGTATGAAAGCTGTTTGCGGACGGTTCTTCTAACCAAAAAGGCTCTGGGGCAGGAGTTGTCCTTATTTCTCCTGAAGGATTCATATGGGAGCAAGCCATTCGGTTGGGCTGGAAAGCTTCTAATAATGAAGCAGAGTATGAAGCTCTACTAGCCGGCTTGCGAAGTGCCGAACACTTCAACACGGAGGAGCTACTCGTCTTTAGTGATTCTCAATTAGTGGTCAACCAACTCTTTGGAGTTTATGAGGCTCGCGATGAACGGATGGCCACTTATGCAGAACAGGCCAAAAATTTGATCAGAAAGTTCCAAGCCATCAGAGTCGAGAAGATTGGCCGAGAGGGAAATGGTCATGCTGATGCTTTAGCTTGCCTGGGTTCCTCGGTTGACTCCAGAGACGGCCGCAAAATATGGGTGGAATATGTACCCCAACCAAGTATTCAACTAGTCGAAATGGTCCTCTGCACAGATTTGGGCCCAAGTTGGATGGACCCACTCCTAGCCTACTTGAAGAATGGCACCCTTCTTGAGGACAAAAAAGAAGCGCACAGGACAAGGCATAGAGCTGCTCGGTTTTGGGTCTCCCCATCTGGTAAGCTTTACAAGAAGTCTTACATGGGCCTTTATCTGCTCTGTGTTCATCCAAGTCTGGTAGAAGATGTGCTTTATGAGATCCATGATGGAATCTGTGGGAGCCACACTGGTGGTCGGTCCTTGGCACACCGAGCCCTGACACACGGGTATTGGTGGCCGCGCATGCAAAAGGAGGCCCAACAATATGTCCGCAAGTGCGACAAGTGCCAAAAGTTTGCTCCTCTCATTCACCAGCCAGCCAAAGCCCTAACCCCCCTCACCAGTCCTTGGCCATTCGCTCAGTGGGGCTTAGACATTGTTGGACCATTAGCTAGGGGAACTAGGAATAAAAGGTTTTTCATTGCTGCAACTGACTACTTCACCAAGTGGGTAGAGGTGGAGGCCTTATGCAAGATCAAATAAGCAAACACTAAGAGGTTTGTTTGGCGCAATGTTGTGACTCGATTTGGCATTCCCAGAGTCCTTCT